CACTTTTGCAGAAAGATAAACATTTTTTGCTTGTCAGTAGAAATCCCACATGATAGAAAAACCATAAACTTTTCTTGTCAAATAATTTAATTAATACCTCGGTGCTTCTTCCTCTTCTAACCTTTTCCTTAGTGTAAACTCTGAGTTCCAATCAATATGATTCACCAAATATAAAAGCTTAGTATATTCAAGGCATCATGCAGATGCTAGGGTGCATAAAAGGATAAGTAAGACAGAGCCCTGACCCTCAAAGAAATTATCATTTGGTAGAACTAATCCCCAAGTATGTACTTGATTTTATTAGAAAAAATTGTTTCTAAATTGAGTAAGATCTCAGAAGGCATTTTCCCCAGAGAAGCAATGTCCCTCATGCTGATCAGATGATTTAGCACTACTTACAAAAATCTCAGATTACATACAGTGTTTTTTGTTTGTTTTATAAAAACACATCCTTTAATACCCTACAGGCTGTACTAACCATTAAAAATCTTACCTCCTCTGTTTTATAATTAACTCTCAGATCAAGCAGGTTAAAGCTATTCTCCTTATAAAGTGCTTGTTCAACATCACTGTGTAAATTTTCCTCACACAAGAAGCCTTGAGGTTGACTAGGGTTGAGGGAAGATTCCATGGCAGTACTATCAGCCAGTGATATTTCCATGAATTTCAGCATCTCTCCACTGCAGTGGATTAGAGGTGGCCTTCTAGGAGGCTGTCTGACACACTTAAGAACAAGTTGATCTTTATTTGTGGAAGTGCTAGTTCCCTTTGGATTTTCTTCCTTAAATGAATCTTCCTGTATATTGGTGTCTTCTACATAATTATATACATGACGTTGGAATTCTGGCTCCTCTGTATAAGATAAGCCTTCTGTCAGATTTTGAAATGTTACCATTTCATTATTAAATGCTTCTGGCTGATGAAATTTGCAAAGGGGTTCAAATTGTCTGAAGGAAGAAATGCTGGTGTCAACTGGCTGAGTTAGTACATTCTGTGAGTAATTTCCAATGTTGACATCTCATTAGAAAGAGAAAGATGAAAATAAGAATTAGCTGACCTGAAATTTATGACTTAACAGTTACATTTACATTTATGAAATCAACTGTTGGAGGCTTTTATGAATTATATATATTTCAACCTTTTTCATTGAGTATACTTGTGCTAGCGGATACAACAAAACTTTTCTACGTGGAGGAAAAAGTCATCAAGGGACTGCTACAAAAAAGCTTGTTATATATGATTCTTGTCAAATACCACTGCAACAAATTCCAAGGCATTTTCAAAATTCTTTCGTTGTACTGTAATTTTAAAATGTTTCAAAAAACAATACACACACACAGCACATAGTATAATAGCAAACACACATAAACTCATTTAATCTCACAACAATCTCATGAGCTAGGTACTGCTTTTACCCCTGTTTTACAGATAAGAAAACTGAAACATAAGAGATGTTAAGTCGCTTGCCTAAGGTCACAGAGCTGGTAAGCAGTGCATCTGGGATTCCAGAATACTATTTCTAAATGCTATGCTACACTGTTTCTCAATATGACAAATTACCCAGATTTAATACATTTTAAAAAATCAGAAGCAAATAAAGACAAAATGGAAAGAAGTGTTACAAAATTAATAAATGACCCTTCCCTTCTACCTAAATTCCCTCCTTTTCCCCTCCCCCGAGAGAACTACTATACTGAAGCTGGTAGGTATTAATTCTTCCCATCCACATTTTTCTAATTTTACTACTCATTTAAGTACCCTAAATAACACATATCAAGTTCACAGACTTTCTCATTTTGTGACACCTTAAAGTCTGTAATTTTTTCACAGCACCCCTAGACCAAAAGAAATACTTCACAGTTCCATTTATTAAGTAGTTGAGCTCAAACAACTTAACTATTTTTCCTAACAACTTAGTAGCTGTTTAAAAATACACATAAGCTGAAAGAGAAAAATATTTTATTTCATTCTTAAACAACCAAACTTGCCTGCTAGTTGGGTACACGACTAAGCACAGCACAATGTCTCAAACCTTGGAATTAAGCTGGAATCCAACCCTCACTTCCGACTTCACACTGATTTTCAGGAAGTACTTGCTTTCTATCACAGCAACCTCCAAAAACCCATGTTTGCAAACAAGGCAGTATAGAAAGGATTATAGTATGGTTTTTATACTGAAATAGTGAACTATCTTAAGCTAGTAGCTTGTGGGGTCCAACAGATGTCCAGTATCACTGTTTTCTTCAAATTTCAAAATATCCTGCAGCACCCTGGGCAAATTGTGGGTATATACACCATTATTTTGTTTTAAATTTTTATATAAATAACATATTTTATATATATCCATATAAATGTCTATTTCACTTAAATTTTTGCTTTTCAGACTTAGCCATGTAAATACATGTAGATCTAGTTCATTCTAAAGGATTACACTTTATTCCCTTTCTGTTAGATATTTGTTTCTAATTTTGCTATTAAAAACAGCACTGCAGTAAACATCTTTATACACATATCCTTGTACACTAATTTAAGAATTTTGGGGGGTTCCCTGGTGGCGCAGTGGTTAAGAATCCACCTGCCAATGCAGGAGACACAGGTTTGAACCCTGGTCCGGGAAGATCCCACATGCCGCAGAGCAACTAAGCCCACGTGCCAAAACTACTGAGCCTGAGCTCTAGAGCCTGCAAGCCACAACTACTGAGCCCATGTGCCACAACTACTAAGCCCGTGCCTAGAGCCCATGCTCCGCAACAAGAGAAGCCACCGCAATGAGAAGTGTGCGCACCGCAACGAAGAGTAGCCCCAGCTTGCCACAACTAGAGAAAGCCCGCACACGGCAACAAAGATATACAAACAAAAAGCTGTTTTCCGTTTCCCTCCTCATATTAAGAAGGCAACAAAGTTCACTACCCTAAATTTTAAAATATCATTTGTGAAGTCATTGGAAAAATATAAAATTAGTCTGAGTATGTTACAAAGTCATGGTAACTTTACATGGTAGTAAATACTAATTTGGACAAAAAGAAGTCAGTATGTGTGGCTACCATCCAGTGATTCCCTAAAAGGTTTGGGACCCAGAAGGTGAAGGGATCTCTCAATTAATCAAAAGATATTTACAAAATATTATCAGAGACCTATTAGGGTCCACAAAACACTGTATTTCTACTTACCTGATACTTTCTATTCTAATACCTCATTATCAAGTCAAATCCAACACTGAACATCAGTTTTCCCTCCCTTCCCTATGCCACACTTATTCTCTCAGGCACCTGGGTTTGAAAACCAGGAGACATCTTTGGCATCCTTCTACCTCATCACCCATGAGCTACTCAGTTACCAAGTCCTGTCCAACTCTCCTTTAAAAAACGTTCTTCATAACACATGCTTTCTTTCCCTCCCTACGGCATCATACTGGTCCATATTCTCATGACCTCCTCAGGTCCATCAGGGGATGGGAGTAGAAAACAGGTCCAAACACAGAGTCCAGATTCTTCTGCTTGACTTCCTAGGTCTTCCATAGCCTGAACCCACATTACCTCCCCAGTCCTCCTCTGCTCAAGTCAGATCAGGCTTCCTTCCCTGCAAATAGATCATGCTCCTTACCATCTCAGTAGTCTGCCCTGGTTAGTGCTTCTCCCTCCTAAAACTTTCCTATCTACCTATTCACCCAGTTTTTAAATTCCTACAACGTCTTTAGTCTAAACTTCCATCTCACAAGTCAGCACCTATTCATTGACTGTTTTAGTCTTCACCATTCTTTCAAGGGTGTTAGTGTCTGCACTCACACACTATGCAGACCTCAGGAGGAGCCCATTTACAGTTTTTCAATATCCCCTACAGCAAACCAACCAGTGTTGTTCAGAGAATATATCGAATAAATCCTGCACTTAAATGATTTATTTCTATTAAAACTTTTCAATCTGCAGTCACTTAACCACTCCCCTGGAGTATTTTATTGAGTTACCAAATTAATAAGTAATTCACCGAGGTTTAATTTTTTTTTCAAACCTGTCATCGTTTGCTTAAGGATCAATATAAAAAAAGTCAGGGAGCCAAGCCAGCTGGGCAGGATTGGTGAGAGGCCAGACTTTATGCTCGCCTTTTCCTCTGTCTTCCAAATACATAAATACTGCCTGGGCTGTGGTGAAGGGGATCTGAAACATCCTTCTTTTGTTTTCCAAATACAAAAAAATCGCCAGGGCCTTATTCCTTCAAAATTTTTTGTTTGCAAACCTATAACTCCCAATTATAACACTCTTACAACTTTGTTCATATGGCATAATCTACCAATTTCCTTTTTTTTTTTTTAAGTTAGGCTTCCTTTTTTCATCTTTCATTCTGTCCTGACCCGATTTAGGCTAGACTTAAAAACAACAACAATGAAAAACTTGTTCCAATGTTTGGACAGATATTCCAGAGACACTCCTAAGCTGTTTTAGAATTGGTGTTAAAAGAGGTGTCACTGGGGGTACTGGCAAAAATTCTCAAATTTTTTTTTCCTTAAATTTTCAGTCGTATGTCAAATTTTAAACTTCTGAAAAGCAACTGTCTTATTTTCACCTCACAACAACGCAACAAACTTTTCAGGTCGCACAAGTGTGCTCACTTCCAGGGACCATAGTTGCTCAGCTCCCCAGTAAGGATTTCGGGCGGCCTCCCTCCGCACTGGGTAACGAGAGAGGGGGAAGAACGCTTTCAACCTTGCCCACGCACGGCTTTTCACACCTCGCAGCGGGGATGCGGCAGCGCTGGAACGTCCCAGTGTGACGTCGGCCCGGCCGCGCCCGCCCGGCTCCGGCGCTCTCTGACCCTCTCGAAGTTTCCATGCGCAGAGCTGGGAGGTTACACGGTGTGAGACCCTCACGTCCAGCAGCCCCGGGCTAGCTGACGACTCCTTCCAAGGGAGGACACAAAGCGGGGAGCAGACTCGAAAAGCTCCGGAAGGAACAGTCAGCCCAGCCTCGGCGGGGAACGACGGGATACACGAACCTCCCACATACCTCGATTCCCTCTCGCGTCCTCCGGGACGCGAGCTTCCGGCGCTCAGCCCGGCGCGGGGGCGGGGCTTCCGGTGGGAAGACGAATTCCGTTCGGGGCGGGGCTTCCTGTCCGGGTGGCTCGGTTGCTAGGCTTGGAATTCCATCCCCCGCACGTGGCGCGCGCTTTGGGCGCGGGGGCTTCTGAGCGGTTTGCTAGGCGGACGTCACGCGCAGAGGCCGTTGGATCGGCGGATAAAACCGTCCCTGTGCCGTTCCTGCCCCGGCGCAGGGCGAGCGGCCGCCGGTGGCGCTGAGGCTCGGCGCGCTTCCGTCATGGACTACCGGCGGCTGCTGATGAGTCGGGTGGTTCCGGGGCAGTTTGACGACGCTGACTCCTCGGACAGGTAGGCAGCCGTGAGTACACCGACGCTGTGCGCACGGTGCTCTCTCTTCCGCCGCCGCGGTCCCTTTGGGGAGTTGACGCTTGTTTGTGGTTTGGAGGGAGACTGGTAATTCATCACTCGGGGCCTCTTTTCACAGCCTTTTGCTGCCTTCTCCATCCCAGCCAGGTCTTTCTGTTCAGGTGCCGGCAGATTTAATGAAAGCCGCTTGTCTGTCCGGGGAGTCCGGGGTTCCCAGATTGTTAGCATCGCTGAAAGGCAGAGTTGGAGAGAGCGATTGGGTAACAGGTGTTTGCGCTTTAACTACATTTAGCGTTCAAAAAATATTGGAGCACCTATCGTGTGCCTATTTCTGTCCTCGGCGCTAAAGATAGCGATGAACAAGACAAACCAAGGCCCTGCTGCCATTGAGTTCTGCCTTCTACTTGGGAGGGAGGGCACACCATTAGGTACATAGAGATATATTTTTTTTAAAAACCCAGATGACATATTTACCATGCAAACAATTAAAATCAGTTGATAGACCTAAGTAGTGGCTTAGTTGTAAGGGAAGGGCTAAGTCCAAATCTGGGGACTTAACTTTGTGGTCCAGCGGTTAAGACTCCGAGCTCCCAATGCAGGGGACCTGGGTTGGATCCCTGGTCAGGGAACTAGATCCCGCATGCTGCAACTAACGATCCTGTGCGCAGCAACAAAGATCCCTCGTGCAGCAACCAAGACCCGGTGCAGCCAAAATGAGTGAATGAATAAATAAATAGTCCAGATCTAAAGGACTCAGGAAGAGCAGCGGGAACAGCAATTCAGGACAGGGGACAGCAGGTGCAGAGGCCCTACGGTGGGATCCCTTTTGGCTGTGAAAGGAAGATCTAGAAGCCATTGTGCCTAGAGCACAGTGCTTGTAGTTGAGGAGATTGGTTGGTAATGATACAGAAGTGAGAAGGGGCCAGAGCATGAAGAGCGTTACAAGTGATGGTAAGGTTTTGAGATATTATTCTAGGTCTTATAGAAAGCCACAGGAGGGCTTTTAGCAGGGCAGTGACATCACCTGATGTATGATTTAAAGGAATCATTCTGCTCTGGAGGAGATGGTTTTGGAGGGCAAAGGTAGACACAGTTCAAAAGTACTTCAGGTAATTGAGTTCAGAGATGATGGGATCAAGCTAGGGATGTTTTGGAGGGCGAAGGGACAGGGTGTAATGGTAGGTTAGATGTGAAGTGAGAGGCAAAAGGAATTAAGGATAACTCCTACCTGAGAGCAAAATGAAACATAGAGTTCATTTTGGAATTCCAAGAAAATGGTTTTTACTTTATAGTAAGGATTCACTACACATAGATTTTATTAATTTCAGTAAATATAGGTTGGTCACTTTCTGTGCGTCAGATCTCTCTTTTTTTTTTAAAGCACATTCTCTGCATTCAAAGACCTTATTCTTTTTTTATTATTGTTATTAATTTATTTATTTTTGCAATGTTGGGTCTTCGTTTCTGTGCGAGGGCTTTCTCTAATTGTGGCAAGTGGGGGCCACTCTTCATCGTGGTGCACGGACCTCTCACTATCGTGGCCTCTCTTGCTGGGGAGCACAGGCTCCAGACGCGCAGGCTCAGTACTTGTGGCTCACGGGCCTAGTTGCTCCGCGGCATGTGGAATCCTCCCAGACCAGGGCTCGAACCTGTGTCCCCTGCATTAGCAGGCAGATTCTCAACCACTGCGCCACCAGGGAGGCCCTGTCAGATCTCGTTAGTTGATCGTGATACATTGGTAAATACTCCCCTGAATGACACAGAACTTGCACTCTACCAGGGGAAGCATATTGAATAATTAGACAAATTATTTGTATTAGATTTGGGTAAGTAGTACAAAGGAGAAGTGGGTAAAGAACAGGGCAGACTTTCCTGAGCAAAGATAGTAGGTCAATACTGGAAGAATACGTAGGATTTAGCCAGAGAAATGAGAAGGGCATCCAGAACCACGTTTTCAGATGAGCGTACAGAAGGCCTTAGGAACTAAGTTAAGTGGGAAGAAGAAACACAGCCAGTGTGGCTGGTGAGTAGTTAACGGTCATGAGTATACACTAGACATTGTGAAGATAGAAACCGGTGGATTTTGCCCACTCCTGGGACTCTGGAGACATTTTTGTTTGTCATAGCTGGCGGGGCGGGGGGTGGGGGGTGTGCGCTGGTGGCGTCTGGAAGGCAGGGACCAGAGATGCTGCTGAACATCCTTGAGGCACAGGACAACCGCCCTCAACAAGGGATTGTCCAGCCGAGGTGGGTAAGCCGTGGCACAAATGAAGGTATAGCTTTATCATGCCACTCTGGGTTATTGGCAATTGAAGGATCGACTTACGGATTGTGTTTATGAAATCCTAGTCAACAACAGGGGTTTACTGATTATTTGTTCTCTTCCCACCCATATCCGTGGAGATTTGGAGCCCTCTAAGCCATGGCTGGTTAATGAGTCAGGATCGATCATCTGAATTTACTTAAACCACTGTCTGACCGTGTTTAATCTGGTAGGGCATATCATCGTGTGTTTTATGTGGTTTCTGTACTCGTTCTCCACCTGAGGGCTCAAAACTGGTGGTACTGCCTCTGGAATCTGACCTGCAGACATGTTGTGTTTGGTGTGCCCCGTGGTTTGTTCAAATTGAATATACCAGGTAAGTGGGAGATTTTACACAAAAACCCAGAGATCTGGCTTCTCTTGAAAAACTAAGAAGATACAGTAACACTCGTCTGAATTCTCACGTGGCATAAAAAGACCCTGTTAGTTGTGCTCCCTTTACTCTGGGCCAGTTCTCTGGGTTTGACAGTCTCCGCTTCTCCTCTTTAATTATACCCAGCTTTCTTCTCTCATTTGTGCTGCTTCTCTTCACCGTCCTTCCCTTCATGAGCAAGGGTGATTTGAAGTTCTTTGTGTAACACAAGTCTTGATACGGCTCCTTTTGTTGCAGAATGATAATTGAGTTCAAGGTAAGGCTTGAAATAAGGCTTTAGACTTATTCCCAAGTTTGGTCAGAAAGTTTCCCCCACCCCCTCTTAAAGCAGCTCTGTGAATGGTTTTCCTGAAGTTCAGGTCTGGTGTACACCTCAGAGTTAGTTCATTCAGCAGAGAAGATAATAATATAAATTCTAACTTCATTAAGGCAGGGGTGGATTTAACCACCTTATGTACTTCTTCCATGGTAGGACCTGGAGAATAAGTGAACAGCTGGAACAGAAACCTGAGAAACAGGAGAACTTGGTGTTAGGTTTGAGTTTATTGGGAGATGTTGTAAGGGAACCTTTTAGATTTATTGGTATAGATGTAGCCTACTATATCATAAATAAATACATATGCAAGTCCAATTAGAGTATGTGTAAACATGCCAAAACATTGTTATTTCCAGTGAAAACATTGACTTGAAGACTGTCAAAGAGGAAGGTGATATTCTGTTTGAAGACCTTCAGAATAACGTGGATGAGAAGATGGGTGAAGGTGAGATGGAAAGGGAGGAAGAGGAGGATTATGACGACGATGATGACTGGGACTACGATGATGGATTTGGAAAACTGGTCAGGTGCTCAGCCTCAGGTGGAGGGAGTAACCTGCAGGTATCTGATGAACCATCCTGTACATCTTTGCATTGTTTGCTTATGTCTTCTTTTTTTTTTTTTTTTTTTTTTTTTGCGGTACGCGGGCCTCTCACTGTTGTGGCCTCTCCCGTTGCGGAGCACAGGCTCCGGATGCGCAGGCTCAGCGGCCATGGCTCACGGGCCCAGCCGCTCCGCGGCATGCGGGATCTTCCCGGACCGGGGCACGAACCCGTGTCCCCTGCATCGGCAGGCGAACTCTCAACCACTGCGCCACCAGGGAAGCCCAATGACAGGCCCTTTTAATCTCTCTTCTCTTATTTACAGGTTCTGGATATTGTCTCCCCTCTCTTCCCTTTTTTTCCCATTACTTCAGTTTGTGCATTGCACCAGTCTAAGTGCTAAGCCTTGTACTTAATCTTTCCCTCTCTTGAGACGCTAAGCCCAAAATGAAATTCCTGGAACCAGTTTAACGTTGGTCTTAGCTCTTTATTATACACTTGGGGGTAAATGAACATTCTCACATTTTAAATCTAGAAACCAGTCAAATTAGAAAAATGCATTTAATTTTAATTTGTTATTTATAATAATGAAAAATATGTTGTAGAGAGGTTAGAAACAAAAGCAAAAATGCAGATTATATAGACTTTATTTTAGCCAGTGACTTTGTCCTATTTCAAATGCCTTTTTAAAAAAAATAAATTTATTTTTTTATTTACTTTATTTATTTTTGGCTGCATTGGGTCTTCGTTGCTGCACGCGGTCTTTTCTCTAGTTGCGGCAAGCGGGGGCTACTCTTCGTTGTGGTGTGCAGGCTTATTTCTGTGGCTTCTCATTGCAGAGCACGGGCTCTAGGCGCACGGACTTCAGTGGTTGTGGCTCGTAGGCTCTAGAGCGCAGGCTCAGTAGTTGTGGCGCACAGGCTGAGTTGCTCCGCGGCATGTGGGATCTTCCTGGACCAGGGCCCGAACCCTTGTCTCTCCTGCATTGACAGGTGGATTCTTAACCACTGTGCCACCAGGGAAACCCTCAAATGCCTTTTTAAAAAACTTCTTGGGCAAATTTGATTGATCCTTCCCTTGCCTTATGGTACTCCCCTAAGTATCGATACTTTAATAGTTAACTATGGGACTTCCTTGGTGGCGCAGTGGTTAAGAATCCATCTGCCAATGCAGGGGATCTGGGTTTGATCCCTGGTCAGGGAAGATCCCACATGCCTCAGAGCAATCCCACATGCCCATGCGCCACAACTACTGAGCCTGTGCTCTAGAGCCCGCAAGCCACAACTACTGAGCTCACGTGCCACAACTACTGAAGCCTGTGTGCCTAGAGCCTGTGCTCCGCAACAAGAGAAGCCACCG